GAGATGGGTGATGAAGATCAAGCGCGACGCCAATGGCAATATCGATCGATATAAGGCAAGACTCGTTGCACAAGGCTACTCCCAAACACATGGTATTGACTATGAAGAAGTCTTCTCACCTGTAGCAAGGTATTCCAGCATCAGGACATTGCTCGCTTTGGCAAATTTGCATGATTTAGAGATACACCAAATGGACGTAAAGACCGCTTTCTTAAACGGAGTAATTGATCACGACATCTACATGACTCAACCCGAAGGCTTTGCTGACGAAGAACACCCCAATTATGTCTGTAAACTCAAGAAAAGTTTGTATGGTTTAAAGCAGTCCGCACGTTGTTGGAACCAAACCCTCGATAGTTTCCTGGTTTCAAACGGATACAGAAAGAGTGGTGCAGACAGCTGCATATACACGAAGACTGAACGAAAGGAACATGGTCACATTAGTTTTGTGATACTGCCAATCTACGTTGATGACATAATCCCAGTTTCTAACGACATCGAAATGCTGAATGCTCAGAAGAAAAGGCTTTGCAAAGGATTCGAAATGGTGGATCAAGGAGAAATTCACTTTGTTCTCGGGATGTCAATAAGAAGGGATCGAACGACAAAGGAAATATTCATATATCAGGAAAAATACTTGGAAAGTGTCCTGAATCGGTTTGGAATGGAAAAAAGCAATCCAGTCCACACACCAATTGAAACTGGGAAGAAATTTCAAAAGAGATGCGATGGTGAGGAACAATACGATCAGAGTGTTTACCAGCAGATGATTGGTTGTTTGACATACGTTTCTACGGCCACGAGGCCAGATATAGCTGCATCTATCGGAGTCCTGTCACAGTTTATGTCAGATCCCAGCAAAACTCATTTTTAAGGAGTGAAGCTAGTTTTGAGGTACATAAAAGGGACAATGAGTTATGGTTTGAAATTCAGTTGTGATAAAAATGATGAATTACATGGGTACTCGGATGCTGATTACGCCGGTAATTTGGATGATCGTCGATCAACCTCAGGATATGTTTTTAAGTTAGCCAACTCAACGATTAGCTGGTCTAGCAAGAAACAAAGTACCGTCGCCAGATCGACAACAGAAGCTGAATACGTTGCCCTAAGCCAAGGTAATCTGGTCTACGACGATTGTTGTCTGACTTGGGATCTAAACCAGTGTCGCCCACTACTGTTCACGAAGACAATCAAGGTGCCATAGAAATCGCACGAAATCCAAAGTTCCTTAACAGAACTAAACATATCGATGTTGCTTACCATTTTGTTTGCGAAAGAATATTATCTAAAGAAGTAAAAGTTTGCTATTGTCCATCAAAGGATATGATAGCCGATATAATGATCAAAGGATTATCTAAAGATCAATTCCAAAAACTCAGAAATTTATTGAACGTTCAATCTTGTTAAAGAACACTGGAACAATATGTAAATATTAAGTGGGAGTGTTAGAATATAATAGTTACGTCATAATGTAATCACGTGTTCCGTAATCTGTAACTTGATAACTTTCCTGTTTTGCTTGTTATATGGCGCTTTCTACATGTGCCTGCTTTATGTGAAGTTAATACTGTTGAATAAACCTTCTTTCTATAAACCAAACCTTCGGATTATTTTGTCAGTATATTGAAGAAAACAGTCCGTTAGGTGATGACGAACTCGCAATCATACACAAAATATACCGTCATGTTGCGTATCGAAGATGTTCGAGATGGATTTTTCAAATTCTTGGCAAGAAATGTCGAAGATCATTTCCATCTTGCATGTACAAATGCATACGAGGGAAGTATTGGTCATCTGATGCACTTTACACTCATTTCAAATATGCCAAGTAAATTGAAATTGGATTTGAAGTATTTGAGATTTCAAGGCTTTTAAATTTTCATCATCTATTGTTGCATTTCATGGTCTGGCAACTACAACTTTCCGTACATGGACGATTCTTATTCCTACAATAACATCGGCTTGTACCACATTTTCCCTTGCAAAGACATACTATGTCATTATTTTCATCGTCGGGCAAAGCAGGCGTTGTGAATCTACTGTGCCTGCGAGTGATGACTTCATTTTTTGGCTGCCTTTGCTTCCCACACAAGTATGTTTCCACAAGTGAGGGAGGTTCCTTCGGAAGCAATGTTTTTGCATTCTCCAATGCTATGCGAAGTCTCAGACACTCAGTTTGAACATCTTGCACATAATCTGAAAATTTTAAATGTATTTCGCATTAACATTTTGTCATTAATGATTCTGATATGTCTATCAATTCTTACTGTAGGTAGGACAGTCGCTTATTGGTTTGGCCACAGCTTTTTCTCCTTTGTGAGCTTTAGGGTATGCAACTGACCATCTTTTATCACCTTTTTGTGTTGTTGCTTGGGGTCTATTAGCATTTTCATTGTAATGTAAATTTGCACAAAATAACCTGAAAAATTCACAATTGGTAACTGTATAGGCTGGAATAACACATTACTCTTTATTGGTCAAAGCAACCCTTTTTTAAAGGAAAATATGTGAGAAAAAATGCATGTTTTCACCTGGCCATGAGTGAGTGATATGGATAGTATGTATTTTTTCGTGCAAAAACATTATCAAGTGAATGCTTTGCCTCCAAGCCTGATGTTTGTTGGTGACTTGACAACTTTCTAACTTCACTTACCAATCTTGGTCTTGAAATAAATTCAGTTAGTTTCTTATGAGCTGCACCACCTTAAAAAGTATAAAGATTAGATATATGAATAGATTGATAAGAAGCAAGATTATAACATACATGCAAATGCTTCGAGACTTGTTAAAGAACAGGTGCACCGTGCACCTATTTTTTTTGTGTATAGTGATGAAGTCTCCATGAATGAATCGGAGCTAGATACTACCCTTTACCTTTTTTCAACTATTGCCGTTCAGTAGCTTCATGTAAGAATTTGGTAAACACCTTGTTGTCTTCGTTAGTATGAATATCAGCAATGTGATTTGCCAAACTTTTCCACTTTTCTTCTTTTTCAATTTCAGTGCTGCTGGAGCTTGCCACCCAATACAAATGATTTATGATGGACTGTTAGATAAAGTTTAAGATATAGCTACAAGTGTCACTCATACTCCTCTGGAATGGCGTGATATATATTTTTTAAATGTAGTTACCCTAATCCAAGGCTTAATTGCACAAAATTTCTTCTTTTTTACAAGTTTAAGTAGCCTCTTTTTCTCTCCTAAAAGGTTCAATTTAAATACATCTTACTTTATCACATGATTCACAATTCCAGTGATTTGATTCACAACTGATGCACTTATATTTGAGTGATTAATACTTGCAAATAGAGAATTAGCTGCACCTTTGGCCACATGCCAAACATCATAAACATGTTCTATTTCTGGCTTCTCCTTAGCCATATAAGATGTAACCTGGATGTGTCTGTCAGTCACAAGCTTGGTAATTTTAACATCACCATTTTCAAGGTATGCAAGTTGACGCTTTGATGGATTCTAGCTCCATGGCGTTGGAATTCATGACTTCAGTGCTCTGAGTATTGATAAAGTATAGAGAAACATCATACGAAAGATGACTATATTATATCAACGGAATATTTTCAGACTATTATTATGATATGTTTGTAGGCTCTGTCATTACCTTTATGATCTGTTTATCAAGTATGACATTGTTATCGACGTCCAAAGAACTCCCGGAACCAAACAAAAACCGCTGTGACCTGGGCTATCTACTCGCATATCTGACGCAATACAGCAAGTTTGTCCTTTTAGTTGTTGTAACAATCTCTTTTTCTCACCACCCCAAACATTGAACACGGCAGGTATAACATACGCCGATTGCAATCTTGAAAATTCACGACGTGTGAAACATTTTATTTTCAATGCACTGAGAAGTCGAAGAACCTTAGCACATTCTGCCCAGTGGCCAAGATGCCTGAGGCATTTACTACCACATTTAGAGCAGCGATCGAAACATTCAACCAGGGAATCTTCAAACACAATAAATTTCCTTTGATCTTGCGGAAGCTTGTTGCGTGACAAAATCTTACTCGTGCATTTAGATTCTACATTGCTGTTATTATTGTCTTCGAACTCTGAGTCTTCACTATTTGTATCTCCAAGTACGAATTCTTCACTCTCTGTATCTTGCTCCTGATCATATTCATTTCTATCATTTTTGTCCACAGTTTTGGGAAATCTGTTATCGTCAAGACCAATATCAGATGTGCCAAAAGGCAACTGTACACAACCCACAGTGGCTTTTGTTTCATCTGTCTGTGAACTAGTGGATGTCATTTTTGCACTTTTTGTAAAAAGGTCTGCCTTTAGTCTCTCTGCCGTTATGAATGTTTGAACAGCGACACTTTTAAATTGTTTTCGATGATTGTAGAATCTGCACGGCTTTGCAATTTGTGTCGATTTGTCTTTTTTACTTTGTGTAATTTTTCTTTTCGACAAAGAACTAGCATGGTGCGTTGTTTGGATTAAATCTGAGTTCTCATGGAAAATAACCTCCCCACGAGAACTGCATGCATCTGCGTTTACAATTTCTTCTTCAACCGGGGCACATTTGTTCTCTATGTATTCTCCTACCATGGCATCAATATCCTGTCATGAAGCAATATAGCCAGAAACTAAAGTTAGCAAGTTTCTGTGAAAGTAGAAATAATTTCTTTTCCTAAATATTAAAGACTTTTTCACATTTTACCTTTCTTCTCGAGTGACTGCCTGTGCATCGACTCTTTGCAGTTAGTTTTTCAGCTTCACTTGCGGTCTTGGGTTTATTTAATGTGGGTATAGCATCACCCTTTAGCATGGCTTTCTTTTTTCCCGAAAAGTTAATTGAATTTAGAAAAGACGGTGAACAGGATGGTATATAGGCATTGTTCTAAAAATGAAGAGAGCAAATAGTCGAGTTCTTTGTAGGTTTGTAACCCTTTCTTTTACAAAATTCAATCCAAATTTTTTCTCGTTTTTTTTCATCTGTATTTTTTACGCCGTTTGGGAAAGTGAAAAAATGAATAGAATGGTCAGAATTATTTTTGCTGTTACTGTAACATCCATATACTGCGCAGTACATGATCGCTGAAATCTGCTGTCTATGTTGAGTTCGAGTTACTCGCCATATCTCTTTCTTAGCATACTTTATACCTTCAGTAACAACCACGAGGGAACTTAATGATCGAACTGATTTTTATTATTTTACAGAGCAGTATTTATACTCTTTATTACAAACAACAAATATTATTATTGGTCGGAGTAGTTCCTCTATTTAAGCTATATATGGTACATAAGGAAATTTAACTAACGTCAATAACTGTTCCTTGGCTCGTAGCCGTGTGGGAACGGATACATTAATAAACTAAACTACGCACATACTATTTCCTTAACATGTTTTTGTGGTTTATGAGCATGACTCAACAGTCTACAATAATACAATTCTTATAACTTTCTTCTATTTGTAATCATCTCTCAGACTTTTGCGAATATGTTTCATGAAACTTTAGCTGTTATATTTGTTGATGTTTTTCATCGTCTACGATTTCCTACGAGTACGAACAAGAGCAGGAAGACGAGCACAAACATGGACACGGACAAGCTCCGATACAACCATACAATATGTATACTGTATATATAAATTATACAGTACTTATTTTACTTTTTTTATTTCATTATGTATATTGCATGTACATGATGTAAAAAAAGTGTAAAAAAATGTTTTTTTAAGAATAATTCACACTGACTTCATCAAAACACATATAAAAGTATATTGTGTTACCAGATATGCCTCCCATTTGTGACGTCGTTGCATAAATCTGCATATCTCATTATATTCAAAACAAATCAAAATGGCCGGCGGAACTTTTAAATTGGAGTCAGAAAAACCTTTGTTACATGAAGACAAAAACTTTGGTTGAACTAACAAAGGTATATTATAAGTCTATGCGATATTTCCCGTTAATTAAGCCTAACTTAAAATATATGTCCAATGTCCTTTAAAGTTAATTAAATAGATGATTCCGAAGACATATTTTATATCAGAACTTCTTGAATTTTGTACACTACTTATAATGTTGACAAAAATTTAGGAAAGTTTAATAATTCTACCGCTTTTCATGTCATTTTCAATTTGTGCATTTAAGATTTATAAAATTATACGCAGTGGGAGTCTGTTCAAAATCATTCAAGAATAGCGTAGATATTTGTAGTATGCTCCCTCCGCTTGGGCAAGCGAAGCTGTCAACAAAAGCCTTTCGGAAAGTTCTTTAAGCCATTTATTAACAGTTATAACTTATAAATAGTTTTGACCAAGTGCTTATCTGTGTAATAAGTGGTAAAGATTGTGTTTTTCCTTAATAAAAAAAATCCCCTTCTTTATAAACATCCGGGGTTTTTCTGACAAAAGTGCACACGGGTAAAATTACTTAAGAATGATGAACAATGATGTGTTTCCGCAGCTTTTGCAGCATTTTGAGACGCAAATAAGAAGCACGTTCAGACGCCTTTAGTAGATACAAGATGGGGCCCCAGCACGTCGACTTTGCTCTGCTACTGCTTGCTTGAGACAGTTGTTTAGTAATTGAGTCATCGTATTGCACCATGAAATTTAGTGGCCACCTCCATTACCTGATCTTACACGTTGTGACTTTCCCTATGGGGACACTTGAAGTCCAAAGTTCATACGAGTCTTCCAGACGACCTCAACGACTTGTAAGCTTGCATTCATCATGAAGTTTATTTTTTGGTTACCAATCCGGCCATGGTTCGACAATTAGTTCTAGCCATTCTTCGACGCTGTCAAACATGCAGTGGCAGTGATGGCATACGATCACATGTTGAAGGCATACGATCTTAAAAATTTTATTACAAAATTATGTAAATTATGTTCGAAAGCAACTTCTTAAATTATTAAATTTGAATTAGTTTTTGTCTTTATGTCCCACTTCAAATTGCAATCGGCGGAAAAATTTTATCTTAAGCAAGAAATTTGAACGGAAGACCAGGTTAATTTTGAGAGAATTGTCAGTAAAAAGGTGTCAACAGAAGCCTAGTACGTTATTTTTTATCACCATGTAAAAATTAGATATGCTTCACTCAAGTGTAGTGTAGGCAGTAGTCAAACAAAATTGGATTCGAATTTTTTTGATACACACTGTGGAAAATTGAAGGCTTCTGATATTTCATGCCACCAAAGGCGTAACTACAACGTTAATTGGGAGGACACATGTTCTCGAATGATAAACATTCAAAGAACGATCAGTGAAATTGATCCATCGATCTTCCTCACTCAGCATTTCTAACAAGTTTTCATTTTCTGTCTAAGGTTCAGGTTGACTTCCATAGTTTTCAGATCTTCGTAACTCTTCAATTTTTTGACTGAGAACTTCAACTACCATTTTAACGTGATTGCTTTTTTGTAAAGCAGTTTATCTGTAAAGCAGTGGTAATATTAAGAACGCTTACGTAATCTTGGTAAAACATACATTTGTGATGTTTTGTTCTAGTGTTCAAAAAACTCGCTTGAGGATGTTTATCTACGTAACTGAACATTAAATGTATACCATGGCTTAAATAAATTACATTTAAATTACATTAAATAACTCATTCTCCTTAAGCAAAGCTGTCACGACTAGTTAGAAATGGAAGATCGTTGCAATATTGTTTCCCTCTGCTGGTGAGTGTAAGAAAGGATTTTAAGTCAAAAAAGCAAAGAGGTGATCCGTTAATGGAAATCAAAACAAAAAATCGTGGGATTGTGGCTTACCCGGCTACAAAAAAGATTATACTACTGCCGAATTTTATGCATGCTACCAAGACTTTTTTATGGCTGTGATCACTGGTTTGACTTTTCAAATGTTGCTAAAACAAGGTTATTCCTAAAACATTCACAATCATTTAAAGGGACTAGAGAATATCCTTGATTTGTTAAGTCATTCGGAAACAAAATAAACAAGGCGCAGTTAAATAAGCGATCATACCAAACATTTCTTTCGTTTAGTATAAAAAAGACCATGAAAAATTGTTGTTAAAATCGACAAAAAATATGGTTACCCGTACAAAAAATAATCAAAAAATTTGGACACCTTCATTTTTCAAAAACTTCCACAGCTCTTGAATTCACCTCATTTTAAAAATTTGTATTGTGACAAATTTTAAGAACAAAGGAAATGATATGTTGAATATAATTTTTTAAGATTCCAAAATGGAAAAATGTCTTGAATACGTACCATTGAAAAGTTTTAATTGGCATGGTGGGATAACAATCTTTGTCTTTACTTTATTTGGCATCATCGTTTCTCCTTTTTCAATAACTTTATATTTTGATACATCGTTTCATTGTTATAATGATAAAGTATCAAATTCCAAGGACGTTGAATCAAGTTGTTTCAGACAATACAAAGATGGGTTAACCTTTCAGTATTTGTGTTTTCTATTGGTGTGTTTGAACTTTGTCATTATTTTAATTTCGAGTATTGTCTATGGGTATTACGTGAAGCGTCGAGTCGAACATTTTGATCACTTCAGTCCAACAAAAAGAAATGATGACGAAAATGAACCTCTATTGGGAATTGGTGAAGAAACTCATCGTTTTACCACGTTTCACAGTTGGGTCGTTTATTTGGTTGTTCGTCTTATCATTTTGTTAGTGTTTGCTGTAATACTTTTCTTAGCTCGATTTCCCATCGACTACCCCTGTTCGTGGCATCCAACAATGAAAGAAACGTTCTTGTCAAATCACACCATCCCTACGTCATACTATGCCACATTAATTCATTGTAAAAATCCAAACGGTGATAAAGGTGAAACCTTGATTCAAATTGTTGCAGGCATTGACTTCTTTGTAATGATGCTGACATTTTCAGAGTTGATTTGGTTGCTGTATTTGGCTATCGATGACAAGATTTTTACAACAGATCGAGAATTTTGTTTGGTGTACTTGATGCAAAAACGTGAAAGATTTCAAAAATCGTTGGCAAGGATTATAAAAAATTTTGACCCAAGCAATGTATTTGAAATACATGACGATTTTGGTGATCATGAAATTTGTTGGAAGAATCTTGACGATATTTATGTCAACATCATTATACAAGCGAAACGACAAACAAGAAATGCTTACCCTAAAGATTTTGAAAGACATGAAATATTTAATTGTCATCTTCAAATTACAGAAGATGTTAAAAAACTGAAAAAAGTGACCGAAATTTTCATGCCAATTCGTGCACAAGATCAACGGTATCCAAGATCAATTTTAGTCATTGGAAGGCCTGGAATTGGTAAAACTATGTTGACAAAAAAACTTATGTATGAATGGAAAAATAGTAGAGATCGATTTTGGCATGATAAACTTGTTCTTTTATTGCGATGTCGTGCCTTTAAGAATGTTAATATTAGCTTGACAAATCTGTTAAAATACTGTGATGGATGGTCACATCAACATTTACTACAATGCTACAATTTTATGCTTTTATATCAAGAAAAAACTGTCCTTATCATTGATGGTCTTGATGAGCTACCTTTTGACGAATTTCTTAATACTGATGGACCAGTAGATGTTGATGCTGAGATGCCAGTGTTCACATTATTAAGTATGTTGGTTAGTCATAAATTTCTGAAAGATGCAACTGTTCTTGTAACATCACGACCTACTGCTGAACGCGCTTTTGATCGTCTTAAGTTTGACAGGAAAGTAGAGATCTTGGGGTTTTTTGAAGATCAGATTAAAGAATATGTCCAAAAGTTTAATAGTGAAGACAAGGAAACCACTGAGCTAATTTTGAACTGTATTGATAATTCTATTGAACTTCGTAGCCTGTGTTATATTCCCGTCAACACTTACATTGTCTGTCTGACCCTGAAGGAATGTTTTATTAACAATGCAGAGGATATTCCAAAGACTACAACCGAATTGTACAAAAGAGCAGTGAAAATTTTGTTTTGGAGGCACCATCCTTGTTTTAGAGGGAAACCTTTGCCAAAGGGTTATCTTGTCGAAGATTTGCCGAAGGAGCTTGAGAAAGACATGCATGTTAGTAAAAGCCTTGCAAAAAAGGGTATTGAGGAAGATTGTTTGATTTTTAATGACCCAAATCTCTCACAGTCACCTCAATTGGTCAATTGCGGCTTCTTTCATCAGATACAAGATAAGCGACGCAATTTTTATTGTTTCATACATTTGACTCTTCAAGAGTTCTTTGCTGCATGGTGTATTGTTGACGATCGGCAAAACATTGGAAAGTTTTTAGACGATCATCACGAAGATCCAAAATGGTACATGGTGATTGAGTTTATTGCTGGTTTAGTCGGAGATACAAAGAAAAGAGAAAAGATTGAAGACATCAGTGTTGTTACAAACAGGTATGAGATTTATTTTTAAGTGTTTGAAGTACCTGCGTATAAAAGTATGTTTTAATTCTCGTAAATTTAATTTTTTAAACTAACTTATTTTGTTCAAACTATAAATTTCTTAATTTGGCAGCGAAATACTTACTTACAAGTTCTCCACACTAGGAGTATGACGCGAAAATCTTTTGTCTTTTATACGCACTCATCCAATATACGAGTGTATTGAACGCAAACACCAATCATTTGTTAACCGTAAGTCACGTACATCAACAACATATAAATAAATTATGCAATCCAAAGTTTGATTCTGACACAGCTGCTAAAGTTTGCAAAGCTGTGTAGCACCGGATCGATGAGAGTGGAGTGGTCTACCGTCAAATTTCGTCCATGCAGTTATGCAAATATTTTGAATTCATTAAATGCAAAAACAATAGATTTCAAAAAATAATTAACAAGAAAAATACTCTAAAATCTACATCGCAAGACCAAAACTTGCGTTTGGCTACACATCTTATCAATGATGTTGGTTTACAAATTTGGCCTTTTGTAAAGAAGCAAACTCTCAGAGCATTGCATGTTACTACATATGTTAATAATATTTTACTCCATGGCGGATCCATGATATTTTTTTATTAGTCAAATGACCGAATGCTAGAGGCGTTCTAGCTATCTAGGGGGCTCCGGGGCATGCTCCCCTGGAAAATTTTGGAACAAAGATGCTGAAAAATGCAATTTCCTTCATTTGGAAGACGTATTTAAGCTATTTTTTTGCTACTGATTACTTTTGTTTCAAAAGTAATCAGTCTCACAATTGCATATACACCCCCCTGCATTAACGTTATGGCTTATCATCAGGATGCCTGAGATCCACTTTACAAATGAAATTTTCATTCACCTAAGTCTCTAATATAGGCCAGGTCTTTGCATACCCAGCCTTCAAATTATCTTTATGATTGGCTTGTATTTAAGAAGTTTTAAACATCATTAACACTGAAGACACTCATCACAGCTTGAAAGCCCAAATCCTGTACTAATTCCATGGCAAAAGGAGAGTGTGATAAACAGACCTTAATTGAGCACCATGTTAAAAGTAATGTACATCAATAAAATTAGTTGAATAATGCAAACAAGTGCATTCTTGCAACCAGTTATAATGAAACTGTCCACCTTTAGCCCTTTGAGAGAATTTATCGTGATTCTCGGGTACAAAAAGTAAGATGGCTTTCTCAATTTCAAAATTTGTACTTTTAAAAAGTAACAGCAAATGTTTTCTCAAATGCAACAGCAAATTCATTGTCATATATGGAATTAGATACTTGAGGGACACTGTTAGAGTATGCTAAATGACATTTATAAATGGCATGGCTTTTTGACGACAGAAAGAACAAAAATCTACTGTCATATGAGTTCTTCATTCCTGGTTACAATTGAAGAACCTGATTTAATAATGCTAACACAAGTAGAATGTAAAAATAATAGTTTGCACCAAGTCATAGTTATAATTGGTTTAAGAAATTTGGAGACTACATTTTCTTTTAACCTCTTTTAATACCGACAACAATGCACTCAATATTGTGCTTAAATTATGAAAAATAAGGCTAGTAAACATTCATAATAAAGTAAAATTGTTAACCAGGCCGATATTGTGACTGCTCAAATTGTAGATTAATGCTCAATTATTTGATAAATAACAGCTTAAATTAATCTGAATAGGAATCAAAGTCAGGATAATACAAATATATGGTGCTGGATGTTGCAGAACCTAATGCCATAAATAACTAAAACTACACAGCCTATTATCAGTGCAGTTTCTTACACATTTGTCTAGCCACAAATTAGAAAAAGGCACATTATCGGCTGAGCCCATAGTCTTAAATGATACTCACATCTATAATGCAAGATATAGATCTATCAACAAATTTTGTGACAATCGTAAAAGTAAAATGTGACATGGGTGTCTACAGTGATAATTAGCAATCGCAAGCGGATCATTTGAGGTCATTGATATGAGAGTGGCAATAAGAGAGTTGTCAAACAAACACCAATGTAACAGAATTTGGTGGTCATAAATATATAAAATGCACTAAATCAATTTATGGAATTTACATAAAGAACTCTTACTCGAAAAAAACATGCAAAATTTTATGTTGAAAATATGAATTCAGTTAGTTTGAATATTAAGCTGAACAGATTATAATAATATCTAAGTCCATTGCTGCATAATTGAGTATGGTACGGTGGCCCAGAGGTGAAATACACAAACGCAAAATAAGAATACATGAATACAAATTCAAATACACGAACGCAAATCAAATATACAAACCCAAATCGAAATACACAAACCCAAATGAAATACACAAACCCAAATCAAATACACAAACCCTAATCAAATGCACAAACCCAAATCAAATTCACAAACCCAAATGAAATACACAAACCCAAATGAAATACACAAACCCAAATGAAATACACAAACCCAAATGAAATACACAAACCCAAATGAAATACACAAACCCTAATCAAATACACAAACCCAAATGAAATACACAAACCCAAATCAAATACACAAACCCTAATCAAATACACAAACCCAAATGAAATACACAAACCCAAATCAAATACACAAACCCTAATCAAATACACAAACGCAAATCAAATACACAAACCCAAATGAAATACAAACCCAAATCAAATACAAACCCAAATCAAATGCACAAACCCTAATCAAATACACAAACCCAAATGAATACACAAACCCAAATCAAATACACAACCCTAATCAAATACACAAACCCAAATGAAATACACAAACCCAAATCAAATACACAAACCCTAATCAAATACACAAACGCAAATCAAATACACAAACCCAAATGAAATACACAAACCCAAATCAAATACACAAACCCAAATCAAATACACAAACCCTAATCAAATACACAAACCCAAATGAAATACACAAACCCAAATCAAATACACAAACCCAAATCAAATACACAAACCCAAATCAAATACACAAACCCAAATCAAATACACAAACCCTAATCAAATACACAAACCAAAGTTAAAGTTAACTATGCTATGGAGCTTCAAAACACAGTTAAATATGGCGGCTTAGCTTCTCTAAGAAAATTATGGGCGAGACGTTGTTGATCAACATGGTTTTACCATTGAGTTCCATAAGACCTGGAGGTGAAACGTCAACCAAATTACTATAAATTATTAGCGCGCGGCTGCGTGGTCAAAAACATGGCGGATTTTGGTTGTCAAAGTCAGCGGAATGACGCGGGCTCATAAAATAAAATTTTTTTTGTCCACCCGGATTTGACAAGCACAATAGCGATTATATAAAATATCAATGCCAAGCACAAAAACTTTTAGAAATTTTATCTTTAAAACATGCTGCAAACTTGTTTGGTAGACAGATGCTGAAGTAATGCCAGAAAAGGAAACATTTCATGATACCGGTATGCAACGTAAGATTGTTTAACATTTAAAGTGTTCAGTGTTTTGTTTTAAGTCAATACTTGAAGTGTGATGGTATATATTTTGTGAATGTTTTTACTCCTAAGTTTTAATTTAAGTTATGTTTATCCATTCTTATTTGTTCTTTACTTAATCGCTTGCTAGACGAGGCAAAGCAACCAGTTCTTATCGAGATATGCATATCTTAAAACTCCTTGTTTCAACTGAGTTAAAATGGAGGATTTTTTCATGATATTTTTCTGAAAAATATGAAGCAAACAATAAGGACAGAGCAGTATTGAAATCAAATGCAGCGCAAGATTAATTAATGAGCTCTTTGGTACATGTCGTACAATAAAAAATTCCTGTATTAAGCAGCTAGCCTGGACAATTTGACAGATTATGGACAATCATGATGATAGTGTGTAAAGGTTTGCTTTATGCTAAAAGTTTTATAAATACCATCTTGTGTTTCTGTAAATGAATTGTTTGTTACACAGTGTAGTAAACAGTTTAGTACATCAAAATGCTTATCATGATATGCATGAAACATTAAATACAGTACTGCATCATTTGACAAAGTCCATATGTTTTTCAATTCCAGGTGATTAAAAATTCACATAAGATGCATTGGTTGCAATGAAGTTGAATGTGGAAGTAGCAAAAATTGATGACAAAGAACTTTTTATGTCTTTTGAAGAATTATGATATCATTTAAAAGAATAAGAGTAGCAATCTAGTAAAAGAAGCCACATCTGCCTTCAACATAAGACTTCCAATTATGTATAGTTACTTTGTACAAATTACTATTTTAGATAAACTTGATTTTTAAGTTATTTACTGATATTTTTACCAAAAGACAAAAAGAAAAATTCAAAGGCATAATGTAAAATTCAAAAATTTGTCAAGTTGTTTGAACCTAGAAAAAAATAGTATAGGTAACTGTAATTTGTAAGAACACAAGAGAAAAGTAGTGCAAGAAGGTTAGCATTTTTGAAAATTAATAAGTTCTTGACATACATTACACAAGGCCATAATATTATAAATAATGTCTGTATAATAACAATTATACAACATGCTAAATATCTTCACCTACATTATAATTATTTAAATAGGTTTGCCTTCATGCAGCTATAAGAAAAGTGTTATGTCAGAGAAACCAATGCGCTTTAATTTAAGAAATCGTATTTTCAATGGGAAATTAATGTAGTTCTGTTCAGTAGTAGATCCATGGTTGTCAATGACAATCCAGTTTCTAATTTCTTGGCTCAAAGCAGAACCAGCAACATGATTATAAAATTTCTGAATTTCGTTCTTTCGCTCTCCTAATTCAAGATATTTTCTTCATAAGTTCTCAGTAGATTTATCAGAATATCATAATACCTTATAAGACACCCAGAATCAATCCTACCAAAAAAAACTAAAAAAAAAATACATACCTACTTATAATATATTTCCAGTCGACTTAAGTCGTAGGGGTAAGCTAACTTTTTCTAACTCCTTTTTGGACATTTTAAGTAATATTTACCCATCTATTCAAGATAGAC